AAACCAAGCAGCACTCAGAGAGTTGGAAAATTCAGGTTCATTACACCAGCCGGCCCAGAGGAGTTAACACTCCAAGCTCTGAACCCCGTGTGTAGGTTTACACAGGCTTTTATAGGCTGCCAGTTTACACTTTGCAACATCATATGCAAATAAGGTATAACAAAAGTTGACTAATTAGGAACAAGCTTTGTAGAAATGGACCAATCAGGAGGGAGAGAAATAACCAATCAGGAGTGAGCTCAGGGAACCAACAGCATTTTAGGGGTAAGTTCCACTTTCCTAGAAGTAAGGCATTTCAGAGGCAAAAAGTGAGATAGTCGCTGGGCCAGGGAACCAGATGGTGCCGGCAGGAGAGTAGTGGTCCTGCCTGGGGGTCCTGCCGGTATTTTTTATGGGGCTTCCCACCTCACCATCACCCCACCTCCCTCAGGAGTGATGGGCAGTCCATTTGGACAGCTGCTCCCAGGCTAGGTTCCCTCCAACTCAGGTCTTTCCACTTTAAAACATGTCTTTATTTTGAACCAGTCGAAAACTTACAAAATGTTGAACACAGGATACAAAGATTTCTGTCCTTGAACCATTTAAGAATGAGTTACTTACCTGGTGTCCCACCGTTCTTGTGACTTGTACGTGTTTCTATCAGATACGGAACTCTGCCCTCACAGCCGCAGGGTAGAACTCATCAAAATCAGGACCTCAACGCTTTGCCCCCTCCCAGTTGCCAGCGCCCATGAAAGTTGTTAGTTGTCCCAAGAATGCCCTGAATTGTGAAAGAATCCACCTCTGCCTCATAACATGGGCTATGTTTACCTGACACCTCTTTCAGTGCCCTTCAGCCTGGAGCAGTCCCTGGTTTTTCTGGGGCTCCCATGACCTTGATACTGGAGGATTACAAGCCAGTTACTCTGTAGAATACCCCCCAAGTGCCATGTCTGCCGTTGCCCTGGAACTTGGGGTGTACATTTTTAGAAAGGATATCCTGGAAATGCCGCTGGGTCCTCACCATGTCCTCCCAGCAGCACATGGTTTTGCTCACCTCATCTCCAGTGGTGTTCGTCTCGACCGCCTGGTTCAGATTTGGCCAGCCAAGCTTCTCCACCACGAAGTTATTCTTTTATTCTTTGTGTAAGTATTTTAGCAGATGGTACTTTGAAGCTGTGTAAACATCCTTTTCTTCATCAAACTTTCTAGTAACTTGTTAGTTTCCCTAGTCTGCTTACTTCAATCCCGTAATTCATGAACACTTTACTCTCTCATTTTACCCCAATTCTGGGATCTCAGACATCACCCACTTTCTCCCCTCAACACACACACAGTGAGCACCCCAGTGTCCCAGAGTCATGTCAACCTTAGGATTTATCGTTCCCCCAAATGGTGATTGATGTAAATAACTGGCCTCCACAACCCATCTTTTTCCCCACTCTTATCCACACAACGCATCACCAGGTGAAGAGCTCTCTTCAGACTCACCCTCATCCAAATTCTGCACAAAATGTCAGGACAGTTAGTGAACAGGTTTTAGGGTTAGCGGTTAGAGGGCCTTGGGCTGCTGTTGGAAGTGCCTCCCCCCCCCCTCAGGACCATGCAGAGCTCTGGGCCTGTCCTGGTCTCGTTCTGGGGCCTTTCCTGAGGCCAGCAGAGCCTGGATGCCTGGCAAGGAGGTGCCCATGTGAGGGTTGGTCTCAGAGGCAAGACCAGGGTGAAAAGGTCGCACTAAGGTCTCCAGGGCACTTTCCTCCCTCCTGTCCTTGGCAGACACTGGGCTCCATCCTGAAACTGATAATTAGACAACAGAGGTCAAAATTACCCATGTTATAAAAACCACTATACCAAAACTGACACAAAAAATAACAAGATAAGAAATTGCATATGTCTCGTAGATGAATCAAATCAATAGTTGAAAAGCCAAAACAACTAACCAAAAACAACAATTATAAAAAAACTTTCCACAATGAAAGCTATAGGACCATAATCATGAAATATTCAAAAAATTATATGTTAGGAAAAAAAACCACCTGAACTCCTCAGGCTTGCCTGGCCCTGCACAACAGTAGGTGAGCACCAGCCCTGGCACCCACTGTGGTCCTTGCCCCACCCACCAGCACCAGCATCCTCAGGTCCCAAGCCATAGAACCCAGGACCCAGTCCATCCATCAGTGGGCTGGCACTAGCCCTAGGGCGTGACTACCCACTAGTGGGTGGGAAACAGCTCCATCCTACATCAGCCAGCACCAGCTCCGGGACACCTTGAGCCCCTCAGCCAGCTGCTCTGGGATCTGGACCCATGCACAGGTGGACCGTCACCAGTTCCTGGGCACAGCAGACCCCACAGCCAGCCGTGTCAGGAACTGGACTCCCCACCAGCAGGACAAAACCAACCCTGGGGCCTCCAGGCCATGGTCCTGTCCGTGAACAGCAGCACACTAGTTCTGGGACCCCTGGGCCTGCAGCCAACCATGCTGGGACGAAACTCCATCCACCAGTGAGCCAGCACCAAGACCTCTTCTGGCCAAGCAGCCAGCATGCCAGGACCCAGCCTCACCCACCAACGACCAGTGTCCTTCACACAAGGCAGGGACTTCAACCATGCACACAGGGGGCCAACCATACCTACCAGCATGTTTACAGTTGTCACCCCACCACAGCAGTAGGACCCATGCAGCCCACAGAGGGGCACTCCTAGGGAATGTAGTTCTGCTTCAGAGGGGCATGTGCTAAAGCCCCCAGGGCATTTCCGAGAGAAGGCCAATTCTCCAAGATCGGGAAATGTACAACAATCTACAGATTCAATGCAATCCCTGTCAAGATACCAATTACATTTTTTCACAGAACTAAAGCAAGTAATTTTTTTGGTGGCGGAGGTAATTAGGTTTATTTATTTATTCTTAGAGGAGGTACTGGGGATTGAACTCAGGACCTCCTGCATGCTAAGCATGCCCTCTACCACTTGAACTATACCCTCCCTCCTAGAACAAGTACTTCTAAAATGTGTGTGGAAACACAAAAGACTGCAAACAGCCAGAACAGTCTTAGTAAAAAGAAAAAAGAGGAGGTATCAATCTTCCCGATTTCAAATTCTACTACAAAGCTATAGTAATCAAAAACAGTGTGGTACTGGCACAAAAACAGAAACACATAGATCAATGGAACAGAATAGACAGCATTGAAATAAACCCAAACTTATATGGATAGTTAATCTGCAACAAAGGAGGCAAGAATATACAATGGTTAAAAGACAGCCTCTTCTATAAATGGTGTTGATAAAAGTAGACAGCTACACACAAAAGAATCAAATTGGACTCCTTTTATGCTATATACAAAAGTAAATTCAAGATGGATTAAATAAAACTTTAATGTAAGACCTGAGACCATAAAGTTTCTAGAAGGCATAGGCAGTATGCTCTTTGACACTGGTTTTAGGAATTTTCTCTTTTTGGCACTGCCTCCTCAGGCAAGGAAAATGAGAATAAAAATAAACAACTGGGACTACATCAAACTAAAAAACGTTTGCACAGTGAAAGAAAGGATCAACAAAATGAAAAGGCCACCTACTAAATGGGATAATGTATTTGTGAATGGTGTGTCCAACAAGGGGTTAGTATCCAATGTATATAAAGAACTTATGCAAAAAAAACCCCCAAAATAACTCATGCAGCTTGACTTAAAAAGAAAAAAACCCAATTAACAAATACGCAGGACCTTACATTTTTCCCGAAGAGGACATACAGACGGCCCGCAAGAACGTGAGAAGGTGCTCACCATCACTCATCATCAGGAAAGTGCAAATCAAAGCCACAGTGAAGTTATCACCTCACACCTGTCAGAATGGCTGTCCTCAAAAAGACAGCAAATACATTGTGTTGGTACAGATGTGGGGACATGGGAACTCTAACACTCGGTTGGTGGCAATGTAAATTGGTGCAGCCAATATGGAAAACATTATGGAGAGTCCTCAAAAAATTAGTGATAGAACTACCATCCAATCCAGCAATTCCACTCCTAAGCATTTAGCTAATTTGAGAAGATATATGCACCCCTGTATTCATGGCAACACTGCTTGTGACAGCCAGGATATGGAAGCAATGTAAATGACAGTCAGTCCAGTCAGTAGATGAATGGATAAGGCAGATGTGAGCTATAGATCTGTATCTATATCTCAGTTTGTCTTGATTGTATTGTTCTTTTAAAAATTAGAAGTATATCTTTTGCCAATACGGGTTAGAATATTGCTAGTGTGATGAAGTGAGCACTCAAGTTTAATTCTCTGCTGAATTTCAGTAGTACCTGAAAAGTTCTGTTTTCAGCTCAAGGATATTTATGCTGTTCTTCTGGAAGAACAACTTAGTAACACGCAGCTGTTAAGCTGTACGCATGCACCTGAATTCATGTGTGCTTTTATTTGCATTATATATATATATAAATATATATATGTGTGTGCATGTATGTATATATATATATATATAGAATACTCTATATAATATACATGTATTATATATATATAATGCAGTACTACTCAGCCATAAAAAAGAATAAAATCTTGCCATTTGCAAAAACATGTTTGCATGTTTGGACCTAGAGGGTATTATTATGAAGGAAATAAATCAGAGAAAGGCAAATACTGCATGATTTCACTTATGTGTGGAATCTAAAAAACAAAGCAAATGAACAAACATAACAAAACAGAAACAGAGTCATGGATAGCAGAGGAGAAACTCTCCAGAGGAGAAAGGATGGAGGGAGGAGAGACATAGGTGAGCGAGATTAAAATTTCAGATTAAAAAATACATGAGTCACTGGTATGAAATGTACAGTATGGTGAATATAGTCAGTAACTTTGTATTTTGTATGGTGACAGATGACTGCTAGACTTACTATGGTGAATATTTTGAAATGCATGGAAATACTGAAGCAGTATGTTGTGTACCAGGAACTAACATAGTTTCACAGGTTGATTATACTTGAGAAACAAACAAGCAAACACAGAAACTCATTGAAAAAGAGATCAGATTTGTGGTTGCTACAGTCAGGAATGGGAGTAAGGGGAATTGGATGAAGGCGGTCAAAAGATACAAACTTCTGGTTCTCAGATAAATAAGTACTAGGGGTGTGCGACATGGTAAAGAGAATTAACATACTGCATGTTAGGTATGAAAGTTGTTAAGAGAGTAGATCCTGAGTTCTCAACACAAGGACAGTTTTTTTTCCTGTTTCTTTAATGTTGCATCTAGGTGAGATGACAGATGTTCACTAAACTGACTGTGGTCATCACTTCATAAGTCAAATCGTTGTGCTGCAAACCTTAAACTTACACGGTACTGTTTGCCAATTATACCTCAATAAAACTGGAAGTAAAAATAAAAACAAAATGGAAGTAAAACCTAAAAAAAATCAAAAATTAAGATAAAGACTCCCACATTCCTCGGGTTTTGGTCTGCCTGTGAACGTTCCTTCAGTCTCCACGTCTGGGGAGTTCTGAAAGGCCGTCTCTGCTCCTGGCCCACGTGAAGTGAACCAGTAAAGAATGTACGTCATGAGGAAGCAATGTGAAGCCCCCAAAACATAAAAGGAGTCATGAGGAAAAGAAAAAAAATCAGTGTGGCTAAATAATGATTGGTTTTAAAACAAGATGTTAAAATACATTCTTTTTTTAAAACATTTTTTATTGATTTATAATCATTTTACAATGTTGTATCAAATTCCAGTGTAGAGCACAATTTTTCAGTTATACATGAACATATATATATTCATTGTCACATTTTTTTCCTCCGTGAGCCACCATAAGATCTTGTATATAATTCCCTGTGCTGTACAGTATAATCTTGTTTATCTATTCTACATTTTTGAAATCCTGGTGTGTCCCTTCCCACCCTCTGCCCCCTTGGCAACCACAAGTTTGTATTCTATGTGTATGAGTCTATTTCTGTTCTGTATTTATGCTTTGTGATTTTTTTCTTTTAGTTTCCATATATGAGCGATCTCATATGGTATTTTTCTTTCTCTTTCTGGCTTACTTCACTTAGAATGACATTCTCCAGGAGCATCCATGTTGCTGCAAATGGTAAAAGACATTCTAACTAAAGTTCTGGATGATTACCACATGGTAGAGAAGATTCAGTTTTATTTTATTTTTTATTGTCTTATGTATTTTAAAATTTTTGGGGGGGTGAGGTCATTAGGTCTATTTATTTATTCATTATTAGTTTTTTTAATGGAAGTTCTGGGGATTGAACCCAGGACTTTGTGTGCACTAAGAGTGCACTCTGCCACTTGAGCTATGCCCTCCCTCCCCAAGAAGATTCCATTTTAATATAACTCGGTTTAGGGAAGATATACAGATACTCTTTTTTTTTTAACACATCTCTCCAAGAAACTGACAAATCCATCAGGCAAAAGTAAGTAATGTTGAAGAGAATCTGACTAATACAACCCACATGACCAGGCAAATAGACAAATGGATACAACCAAGCTCAGGCTTCTTGTTAGATTAGTGATGCTGCAAACAGTCTCTCTTGGTAGCATGGTTCCCCCCAGTGGCATGTCGATTTTCATGAATCGAACTTCAAACACATACAGATCTAGGGAAAAGGGGAAAGTCTGGCCTTTCATTACATGCAACAAACCCCAGAAAAAACAGAAATTTGAGAACATAGATATAAAATCCGTTGAAACCCAATGAAATGTTTTGGGATCTACTGGGGATTGTCACCTCAAACGAATAACCCATTCTGACTAGGTAGCTTGTACTCTGTAACTGTGAGGGCAAAAACCTGAACAAACCCATGACTTTGGTAACTGTTAACTGTAAAACACAGATAAATAACATACTAATTGAACAGAAATGAAACAACAACATAGAGGGAAGATGTCTTTCTCTCTTCGCCTGAAACTCAATTTCTTACCCCAGAAAGCCCTATGTTACACAAATGTTACACAAGTGAGTTTACAATAAAGGAAAGCATTAGTATATCTTTTTATTCTCTTTTAAAGTATAGTTGTTGTTTAAATTTTTTTATTAGTATATCTTAAAGTTTCACAAACTCAAAGCAAGAACGCTGCAGACACAGCAATAAAGCGCCGTGCGGAATTTCATTGGCACCATCGTCTCTCCTTGTCGTGGTGTTTGTCGGGACGTCCTTCTTGGCCCCTCGTTCTCTCTGCCTCACTCGCCAGTCTGTCTGCAGTCAGTGCTATTGCCAGTCTCTCTCTTGCTGTCTTCACTTTCCTTTCCTGATCACTGATCTCCTCCTCAGTGACCAGACACTGTTTGCAGAGGAGCTGCAGGATGCCCGGACCAGCTCCTGGAGTCATCTCTGACAAATCTGAAGACCGGGCAGGGGTGGGCCCAGGGCTGGGGTTGGGACCGCCTGTGTGCACCCCTGGCAGGGATTCACCAGCACATCTTGGTACAAGTTTTTGCAAGGCTTTGGCAAGATCCAGAGGACTCAGTGGTTCTCCTGTGCTGCTGCACGCCTGGAGTCCTTGCAGTCTCTTCTGCCAGCACAGCTGCTGGGGGGTGTCCAGGGTTTCCTCCTCGTGGCAGCATCTGACCTCATTGCCGGGATGGGATGTGATTCTAGTAACTGGTCTCTTGAATATGTAACTGGACATCCTCAAAGGGATGGAGATGTTTAAACCTGGCTTTGGTTGGAACTGTTTTCCCCAGTCACGATGCTTCCTCTGCGAAGTCTTCACCATCATGCTTCTTTTCCTCGTACTCTACAAAAATAAATTGGGAAACTGGAGCCACATGAGGAATGAAATCCTCCTCCTTGGACCATTATCTCGGTCCTTTTGTACTTTCACCCTCCCTCTGTCCCTTGGGGGTTAAGTGTGACCTGCCTCTTGGGACATCAGCAAGCAGATGTGGATGAAGAACAGGAAGCTTAAAGTCAAAACTCAGGACCACTCCAGATCACTTCAGCTCCACCAGCTTGTGACACCCCGTCCTCTATAAGTACGATCATATTTTCTTCTTGTCCTCGTCACTCTCAACTGCACAGGTCTGGGTAGTCTCTTGTATCACATGCTTATCAGTCTTTCTCTAAAACCCAAATGCCTCCATTCTTCCATGTCATGTGACTGTTCACCTCGTTAACCCACTGACTCATGATGTTCACAGTGCCTTTAACCACGGTGGCCACTGTAGACCACTTGTCTATGGTGACATTAACCCTCTTTAGCAGCTCACCCCATACCCCTGATGCTTACATCAACCCAAGTGGCCGTGTTCTAAATAAATAATTCAGAAAACATATTAACTCATGACTAATTTCTGATCTCTGATTTTTTTTTCAAACACTCATACTGTAGATACCTGTTCCTCAAGATTGGAAGTTATGCCTGATCACCATTTCCTCATCTGAATTTCTCTCCTCCTACTCCTGTCAATCCTGGATTCCATGCACTATGATCTCAATAATTCTCTTGGAATAACTCAAAATTCCTTACTGCTCATCACATCTGCCTTGTAAAACTTCAAGCCTGGAGGGTGGCACTTATCTGCCATGCCATAGCTACCGCTGGTCTTATGAACTGCACACAACATGATATTTTGCTACCATGGGAAATCCAAAATCATCTGCATCTATTGGAAAGCATCCACAATGCCTGGAAGTTTAATTTTCTTTGTATGTGCTGGCATATTTACTTTCTGATTTTTTTCCAAAGTCTGTTTCAGGTGTTCTCCAATTTCCTTTTTCCTTCACACACATCCTATGTCCCTTAACTTGTCGGATATCTCACAGAGAAGTTGCTAACTACTAGGTGGAAATTTTACCCTGGTAGTTGCCAGATCTGCAAATATCTCTAAGATTCCATTGTTCCCAAATTTCATCTGATTATATTGACACACTTCTTTTCTCCTCCAGTGGTGATCTGGTCCTCATCCCTTCATCCTTCTTAGTAAATTCATGATCCTGACACAAAACCTCGGCATTTTCAACCTCTCCTTTTCTATTGAATCTTTCCATCAGCATTTAAATACATTCAGATCTCTCCAAACTCCACAGAAACCTGTCACCTCATGTTCCTGGGGCTCTCAGCCACCATCCTTCTACTCCTGAGTAGTGAACCACTGAGAAAGGTCATTTGATCGTGTGTCTCTGTTGTCTCACCTCCAGCCTCCTTAGACCTCCCCACCCTTCCGTGGGACTTCACCATTCTTTGGGGGTTCCCACCTGGTAAGGGCACAATCACCGCTTTGTTACTAGGCCAAACATGGAACTTTTCATTATTCATCTGACAGGATCTTTAAGTGGAAAATGGTTAAGTACATTTGGAACAATTGAGACACGTGAATCACATTTTACAGCTGTGAACCTTGCAAAAATCTAAATATGGAGTAGGTATATTGGATACTATTCCCCTTACAAAGTAGGATTGTGCTGTAAGTGAGAAGCACAAGATGGATTTTGGGAGCTCAATACCAGAAAGGGAATATAAACTATGTCATTAGTCATTTTTACATTGATTGTGTTCAGAAATTAAATAACATCCTTGGCTGTAACGGACAATGAAAATGATGTCTCTTGTCTGTTTTTACTTTTTAAAATGTAGCTACTGAAAGTATTTAAATGCAATAATATAGAGTGCTGAAAACTACTGTTGGACAGTGCTGGTCCAAGCTGTGAATGAGAAAAAAAAGACTGACAGAAAGAGCTTTTCTCTTTCATCTTTTCATCTTTTCCCAAGGAAAGGGGTCTACCCCAGACTCACTCCAAGATACAGCAGATTTTCTCTCTCTCTCTCTTGCGCACGCGCGCACACACACACACACCCCTTCTAAACCAAAGACACGTCGTTCCAGAGTCCCACCACTATGTCTTAAATGCGCTCCTATATCGTCTTTGTCCTAACTGGAATGATCTCAAGAAGGAAGTCAGAAGTCAAGAGAAGTTACCAGTTAGGATGAGTCCAGAAGCTTAGGATGAGATTGGGAGTTGAGGGGAGTCCCCTCCCATTGGCTTCTGTGGTAAATTCAATTCCTGTAGGAAAATTTTGGAAGAGGGTCATTAATAAGCAATCACTTCATCTTTACTATGTGAAACTATACAAGATGTGTACAGAATAAGGACTCCAGACTGTCATGGAAGTCAAGCTGAGAGGACACAAATAATAAAATTGAATCAATACTCGGTTAATGAGCCCGAGAACAGGTGACACTGGGTTAATTTGGGCTCCTCGGGCTGATTCTGATTGGATGTCCAACACACTGATGGCGTTATACTGGGGCCTGTGAAACGTCCTGGCCCTTCTACTATTTAACCACCACCGCCCTCTGACTGGTGACAGTTCTTGTTGACAAGCCTCTCTGACGTCACCTGAAGGATTTTCCCAACACCCCACTCTGTCTCGGGTCTCTCTGACCGGCCATGTATCCTCACCCTAAAATAATTCATGACAGTCTATCTGCTTGTTGAAACCCTACCCTAGGGTAACTTTTGACTCTCTGTCTACTTATCAGACCCTTATTATAAAATAACTTACAATTCCTTAAGGACAAATACTTTCTGACTCACATCAGAGTCAATCACAATTATTACCATGAAACTTTCAACAAACTAACTCTTGGCTTTTTGTCTTTCTAAGGCCCTTACTCTTTCTCTTATCTGGAACACTCTCTAAGGGTTACGTCAATCTGTGTCCCCTGAATGAAATTCTGAAGACCCCATATTTGCAGTTTTCTATGTGCAGTCTCCTGCAATATTATTATTATTATTATTATCATCATTGTTATTTTGATTGGCACGCTCAGCATTACACATATAAGATTCAGCCATGTCTTTGCATATGTGGCTCATTTTTTCCCATTTCTAAGTAACACTCCAGTGTATGCTGTATGGGAGGCATTATTGTGGGGACTGGCCATAGACTCCAGAGGAGGAGCTGACAGTCGCTGGGGCACAGGGAAAGTGGGGGACTGGGAAGCCCCAGGTGTCTGGGCTCAGCAACCAGGGGAGGCGGGGCTGCCTCCTGAGGTGCTGGGAGCAGCAGGGTCACAGATTTGTGAGGGGCCTGTTAGCCCTAAGGTGAGAGGGGGATGCAGGGTTTGGAGAGATGTGCCTGACCTGGGGGACAGGTTCAGGGAGGAAGGAGAGAGCCCAGGTTGGGGGCAGGTGAGTTACAGCAGACTCCATGCAGGGGACTGTGGTCCTGATAGAAGCAGCCCGGAGCCAGAGGACTGGCTGTCAGGTGCTCAGCTTCACTCTCCTGTTCCTTTGTAAAACCGCTCTGTCAGAGTTTGAAACACTGCCAGGGGACCCCTGAGCCCAGTTCTGCCCTGGCTTCTTCCAAGGGGTCAGGTGGAAAACAGAACCACTGCAGGCCATGCCCATGTCCCCACAGGGAATGAACCCCATCAGGGCACTGGGCTCACAGGCTTCAGGAGATCACGACCCTCAGGACTGGTCTCTTCCTTGCTGTCACCTGCTGCTCAGAGGCCCAGGTGCCCCGTCCTGGCTCCACCCTCTAGGACTTGGATTCTGGGACAGCTTGTGGGTAGGGCAAGACCCTCACACTCCTTTTTCTGCCTGAAGGTGAGAATGTCTTAAAGGCTACATTGGCTGATTTTGGAGATCTGAATGTTTCCAGCAGGTATAGGGGGAAGGAAGGAGTGTGAGGTTCCTACATCAGTAGGGCTTTCCCAGGGTAAGGAGCTGTGCCTTCCCCCTCCCAGTCCATTCCCCACACCATCCATCCAGGAAGCTCAGATCCAGGAGTATGAGGGCCAAGGCTCTCCCTTTGCTTGTCTGTGACTTCCCATTCCCACAGCCAGGAGCCTGGCTCCCACCACCTGCCCTTTATCAACCAAATTCTCTGTGGCAGGTTACATGCACAGTGGTTCCAGAATTGTTAACTGCTACACCCTGGAAAGCACTTTATAATAGAAAGCCCACAGTTTAACAATGGTCCATTCTGCCTTTGCAAAAGAAGCCTGTCCATTTCCAAAGTTAACTTAGGTCCACACCTTTTACCCCACCATCAACTGTTTTTCCCACCCGTTTCTAATACACTTCATAGATTATGTGTCACACTGTGTGTTCCATCCTGCGACCCTGCTACATCGTAAACAACTAAGTTTGAATATATTATGATTGACCTTTGGGGTGTGCAAATGTGTGGGTGTAGACATATGCATAGTGACAAGTGTCCACCCTAAAGTATCACGTGGAGCACTTCAACCCCCTACCTCACCCCATGATCTGCTCATGTACATAGTCTAGCCTTTTCCATAATTGTCATCAATGGGATCCTACAGTGTGCAGCCCCCTCAGACTGGGTTCTTTCACTTAGTAACATACAAGTGAGACTTACCCGTGTCTTTCCGTGGGTTGATGGTTTAATGTCTATTGCTGAGGAGAATTCCATTGTGTGTGTGTGGAATGAAAACCAGTTTTCCCTCTCCTCTTCTAGGTTCTTCGATGAGACCTCTGAGCCCTAATAAGACAGATTACTGAGAGAAAAACAAACAAGTTTAATAACATGCATACCTACTGTGCACAGGGGAGACACACAGGAACACTGACTCCCTCCTGAAATAGCCAAAATAAACACATTAAATATGATCTTCACCTAAAAACAAAAGCAATGCCATGGGGAAGGAGGAAGTCATTTCTGAGAGGTTCGGGTTTTGCAGCGGGATGGGGTTCGGGATCGGGTTAAGGTTAGGGTTAGGGGGTTAGGGGATAAGGGTTAGGGTTAGGGTTAGA